TCTTGATAGAGTTGAGTACTTCAGATGTGATTTATTGTATAACAACAAACTGTGCCCTCTGATCTCTAAAATTAGAAAGTGTAATTTTTCTGGGTTAGTGGGTAATGAAGAATCAGGTTTGAAGTAGCAAGTATGGCTTGGTCTTACTTAGTTTTTACTAATCAAAGCTAGCAGTTAATCTGTCAGTTTTGCATGTGAATACTGGGGAGCTGTAACAACAGCAAAGTAAATAATTCTCAAAGATATGTGGGGAAGAAAAGAAATGCTACAGATGGACTGATTTGAATCCTGAGTTCTTGAGATTCATCAACACTGCTTATGCTTTCATACTTGAATGGGAAACTAAAAAGATTTAGGCAGGATCTATTTTCTTTCACTTGCATAGAGCATTGAAAAATCCACTTGTCTAGCTACCTTCATCTCCCCACTTGCCTATATGCTTTTTGAAGTCTTTCCTGCCTTTTCCACTTTTTGTGTATTTAAACAGCAATTTCACTGCATTTATGACAGAGGCTGCAATGGGAGGCCCTATTACATATGTCACTACTTCAGTTTTCCTGATGCTTTCAGCTTCACCTTTTATGCCTCTTTCATATTTTTAAGCTGTTTGTTTTGCCTTCTGTAAATATTAATGTCTGCTGAATGTCTTCACTCTCCAAAAATGCTTCTCCCAGAAGCAATTCCTTCCTTCGTTGCTTATTAATACTAGTCTCTTGGTGCTTGGTTACCTGCATTATCTTCTGCATTATTTCTTGCTGTTCATTCTTCACTCAGTCTTCATTTTGCAGCTAATATCCCAATAGAAGTGAGTCACTACCAATGGCAGAGCTGTAATCCATCAGGTTCAAAAGCACTGACTTCTCTCATTTTTGGCAAACTGAGCTTTACCACACTGTTCCTGCTTTCACCCACCTGGGCTGCACATTGGAATGTAATGTGGTATCTGTGCATTTATTTAGACTTATCTTAGCTTTTTGCCTCTTGTTATATGTATCTCTGCCCCTCAAAAAACGCAAGATTTTCACAGATCTTAAAAGCTAAGATCTTTGATTGAAACTTCCCGTCTATGAAAGATGCTTAACATCCTGTCTATTTTTGTGGAGGGAGAAAAGCATCTAACATATCTCACTTCAAGGGATGGAAGAGATGCAGGAGCTGTGGGATACCTAAGGATCCAAAAACTTTTTATGATGGAGTTTTCAACAGTGTACAGCTGGATCAGTGATTCTTATTTGATCAGACCTTTAAAAATCCAAGTCTAGGTACAATGCTTATTAATAATAATAAAAAAAAAAACAGCACCCACAAGCCTGCAAAATCAGTTGTTACTGGAATTTTCCCCACCCTGTTATTCAGTTAATGTTTTCCTTTCTTTCTGGTAGCTCAGAAAGGTGCAAAGTTTGGGGCAATACAGCTTGAAAAGTTCTCAGTTTTCCTTGCCTCTGTAAATCTGAAAGGTACTCCAGTTTACCTGCAGGAAGACTGCAATTTGATGAGCAAGGATGCCTCCTAATCGCCAAGGAATGAACCTAACTGGTAACTGATTCCCAGAGACTCTCGCAGGACAAGGCATGGTGATGTTTTAACCTGGTAGCAGTTCTATGAAAGGTGTTCTTTGTGCTAAATTGTGTGCCTGATTAAACTTGAGAACCAGTCTGAGATGCTTCCACAGTTGCTCTTTATAAGTGCTGACAGGTCCTAAAGGTGTTATCTCTTGCTTTAATCTCTGTAAGTTTAAGTCATTTTAGGTGATCTAGACACCAAAAAAGAAATCATCCAAGAAACAAAAAAGCCACACCCAAATTGTTCCAGAAGCCATTCTTTCATCCTTTATTTCACAAATTCTTACTTTATTTTTTTTTTTAACTCCAAGAACAATTGATATCACAGAATTAACAAGAGAGGAACAACCAGAAAAGGGAATAAAGAGGATGTGACTAACAGTGCTTGCTTTTGCCATTTGATAGGAAGTGATTGGCATTCGAGATTATCAGGCAGAAGTACAAGTACATGAAGATCTACAAACTGGTGAGTGAAGTTCAGATATTCAGACTGTATTTCCAGCATTTAAGAGAGTAACGGACTAAGTTCCAGGGACAAGTTTATGCTTCACTTGAAGCACCCAAAAGCGTAGTACCAAGAACCCACTGCTGAACAGAGAAATGCAGTATGCTAATCATGAAATGAGTTTATTGGATTAGTCAGGCTTTTAGTAGAGGACTTTATATAATCTCACTTGCAGATGTATTGGTTTATAGATACATTTATCTCTTAATGCAACAGAAAACAAAAATATCCAGACCAGATGATTCCCTTAAAATGCTCCACGGGCTGTCTGCTCCCCATGAAGATGAGGCTTGTTGCAAGGCAAGCTCCTCACCAGGGATGGATGTGAAGCCAGGTTTAGCTGAGGGTTCAGACCATCAGACAAGTTTGTGGTGATGAGTCAGGCTTGGACTCAGGCAAGGAAGTTGACCTGCAGAGCAGGCTTAGTGCCTGGTCCATGGGGCCTATGACCAGTCCCAGGGAAGGAGTGTGAGGCAGTAGGGGCCCATCTCAGGAGCGTCACTGTAAAAGCAGCTCAGTATGTGCTTTGACATTTCCATAGTGCTGTCTGGGAGCCTCTCTCTGGAATAACCAGTGGGAAGGGATGCCTCAGAGCTGCCCTGAGTCCTGGCAGTCAAAGCCCTCCAGGAGAGGGTGTGTGCACAGAGGGCCCTGGTGAGTTTCGTGGTTCCCTTCTGTACCTGGCATGGTAGTCCAGATGGCCACTGCAGACAGCTGTGTTAGTTTTGTTGCCTGATATTGCAAGAAGATTGTAAGTGTTAGTAACAGCCAGCCTTACATGCTGAATTGTTACCACAAATATTGTACACACAGCCCTATTTCAGCCATTCCAGGAAATTCAGAGAGGCAATTTGCATGTTCTCTCCATCAATGTCAGATATCATTGTATTGGGGTATATAACTGTAGCCCTCTTTTTCTTTTAATTCGCGATAAAGGGGAGGTAATCCCACTGTAATCAGGACTTTGCTCTAGTCCAGTGCAAGAGCAGTGGGTCGTCACTCAACCTGGAGAGTTTGTCCCTGGTTTAAACTGATGATGGAGAAGGATTAACGTTGCTTCTTCCTTGTGTCAAATGCTTAAATACTTTGCTAGTTACATATCATTTCCTAAACAGAAATGTCTCGACATTATTTCTTTTCTTAGAAATAGAAATACCTTACAGAGCTTGAATTCCACAACCCAGTAAAGAAATTCTGTTGGACATCTTTTAGAGAGTACATAACATGCTTTATTTCATCCTGTTGTTCTAAGGCTCTTCAAGATCCTCCATCTTCAAATCCTGCTGGTTATTCATCCAATTTCCTTTCCTAATTGGCTTTCTCTCTGCCTTGACATCTTGACAAGCTTGATCCTGGGGTGTTTGGTAGTTGGCAACTGGCAAAATGGCATTGCTTTGGCCTCGCTGGGAGTAGACCTCCCTGTGAATGATGTCCTTAGAGCAGAGCTGAAATTTGAAGGCTGCCTGAAAGCCTCTGCGAAAGTTTTCATTAAAGAAACCATAGATAATGGGGTTGATACTGCTGTTGAAAAATGCCAGCCAGTGGGCAAAAGGGTAGATATAAATGGTGATGATCTGCAGCTGGATATTTGACAGGTTGGCATAGTCTGAGAGCATCATCAGAGTCCACAATGGAAGCCAGGACAGGGTGAAAAGCAAAGCCACAATAATGAGCATTTTGATGACTTTTTGTTTCTTCTTAGACACAGTGTGTCGCTGCTCCTGGCTGTGCTTTCCCACTGTAGGCACTGCTGTATTGAAGAGAGCAATGCCTATCCTAGCATACATAATAACAATGAGTGACAAGGGAGCAAGGTAGATATTAGCAAACAGGACTGTTGTATAGATCCTTCTCATTCCTGGGTTAGGCCAGTTCTCCCGGCACCAATATACAGGGCGGGTTTCATTGCCATAGCCAAGGATTACTCTTATATGCTTCTCTTCTCGTACCTGCAGCATGACTGCTGAAGGACACATGATTGCAATGGCCAGAATCCAGATGACTGTTATAATGATGATAGCGGTTGAGGTGGTCAACTTCTGCTTAAACGGATAAACGATGCATCGAAACCTGCAGCAAAGGCATCCAGGAATGAATGTGGAGAAGCCATTTAGAGAATGCTTAGAGAGGTAAACATAAACTTATACACAGGTATAAAATTATGTATTGTTAAAATTGTATCTTGTTAAAATTGTGTATTTTTTTAAAAAAGTACAGATGGAATTGTCTTATCCTGCATAACCAGTGGAGTTGTGTGTAATTGCTCCATTTAAGAACTGTGTTGAGGAAAACAATCTAGAAGAAAGTTGGTGTAAGATGATTTCTTGATCATGTGTCTGTATCAACCTGCTGGTGCTTCAGTTAACTATGGCAGGCACCACTGCTTCTGCTATCTAGCTTAACTAGGGGACTAACCAACTCTACACAGTCAGGCACAGCCCAGCTGTGTGATTTTTAAGAGATACTGGCGGAAGGGCAATTACTGTGGACGCACTTCTGAGACGACTGTGTTCATAAGGCTGCCCCATTAAAACTGCATCTGTCTAATGTGTTGTGGTATTACGTGAATTAATCTGCCTCGGTGTTGTCAGGTGGCATAAGGGAGATGAAAATGACAGTTCATCATCTCCACATCATCTTACCTGTCTACAGCAATTGCAACCAGAGTGAAGATGGAAGCAGAGACAGAGATTCCTTGGACCATCCCACTCGTCTTGCAAACCATGCTCCCAAATGGCCATCCTGGAAAGAAACAGGTAATTGAAATTTTTACCGTCTCATTGCAGCACTGTGGTCATATGCATAAGAAGAAATTTCTGTCCCAGAACAAATACTTTCTTTTGCTCTGGCAGGCCACTGTAGGGGGATCAGAAAGGCATAGGTTATGTAAATAAGTGCACTGCCAGTTGCCTAGGTGAGTTTCTGATGTTTTGAGAAGCAGCAGAGCAAGCATTTGTGGTTTCACATAACAGCAAAGAGAGACCAGCAGGCAAGAAAAGGGTATTGACCGCTACAGGATTGCTCTCTGCATGTTGCTGTGAGTACCCACGTAGTCTTCCTGGGCATGTAACATAGTGCTGGTGATCCCTTGTTAAAGATGCAGGATGTGGAAGTCAGCAGGGACAGCCCTACTAAGAGGGTTGTTAGAGGCTTGTTTTCCTCATCTGTGACTTCCACTGACTTGAAATGCCAACTGAACTCTCTCAGAAACAGCAGTGTGTAAACAGGGCCATTGACCCAGTGCTTTATTAGGTGACTTTTGTGCGCTGTCTCCATATGTGTTGCAAAGTGAACCTGAACCCTTTCTGCCCTATATGCAAGATGAGGGCTCTGAATTTGCCCTCATCTTTCTCAGTGGAGTTTGGATTCTGTATGCCAGTGACAGAGATTAAGAATAGTATATGTGGATCGCTGTCATGTACAGGCAACTCTCAGGTTTCGCAAGGAGGTCAGCACTCAGAAATACAGGTGAATCCCCTTCACGCTCTTTTTGCTGTGCAGTGTGAACCAGCATACCTGCAGTGATGTTGTCCAGTAGGGTGGTGGGCATGCAGAAGATTCCCACTAGTAAATCGCTGACAGCCAGGTTCAAGATGAAAAGATTTGTGACTGTTCGCATATGCTTGCTCCTCAGAACAATATAGCAGACTACTCCGTTGCCAACCATACAGAGCAGGAAGATGAGGAGGTAAGAGACAATGAAGACAGCTGCCACTGAGGGCTGATGATGGTAGAAGTCCACGTAAGAGACATTGCCTTCTAAGTAGAGGTACTTGTATGTCCCGTTATAACTCAGCAGATGAGGCCATTCAAATGAAGAATTTGAGTCTGTTTCCTTAGTCATGTTGTAATGTGCCTTAAAAGATATTTTTTAAAGGTCATTATAATGCAATTTAAATTATTTGAAGAAATGTGACTAGTGTGCTCAAAGCATACTGCATAACCAAACATTTGAGCTTGTGTATTCTCATCCCTTTATGGCTTATTCTAGTGGTCCATATTCTGCCCTCCTCCTCCCCCTCCCCTTCAAAGTGGAAAAGCAACAAATATTATTAGTTAATATTAGTTTGATTCTACAATATAGGTATATAGAAGTGACCAGTAAGACTGCTGAAAATTTTCTTCCTTCTCCAGTCTTTGTAAATATTCTTCCCTTCCCAAATAAGAGGAAATGCAGACAGAATGTAAACAAATCTATTGTGATGTGTCAAGCAAATAAAATATTTATCTGGGGGGGGGAGGGTGGGAAAGTGGAAATCAGAATTCTTGAGAAATCTATTTACTCAACAGCTTGAGTAAACTAACTCTTAGGCAAAAGTGATGTTACTGAGACGTTAAAAACAGTGGTGGAAATAAAGCATTCAGAAGACATGAATCTTCACCTGAATGTGTCCAAATCCAGTCACATTTAACTGAAAAAATTTTTGTGTACAACTGATATTAGACCTTAATTGATTTTACTTTCCTATGTGCAATCTACACAGATCAAGAAAAAAGTCAGGAAACATGGATGACCTCTATATTTAAAATGTGTTAAAGTACAGGATAGCTGGATGTATTTTCTAGCTTTTCTACTAAATTCCTTCCTTGAAACAGACTTGCTAATTAGAGCTTTGTTTCTGCCTATTTTTTCCCTGTTACATTTACTCATGTCTAGTTCTCAGGAAAGCGCTGCAGTTCTTCTGTATTTTGTTTGCTAATGAAATTCAGTGATATCAAAAGTTTTGCAAGCGTTTCACTTCCAAGTAGTTCAGAGAAAATATATATATTCTGGTATGCCCCAGGTTTGGAACAAGTATAGTAGTGAATATTACATAGATGTCTTGTGTTTTCTGCTGTGTTGGCTGTCAGCAGCTATACAGCGTTTGCAATGCATTTGTATTTTTACATATTCTTTTATGTATTTTAACAAAGCAATGTACTAACTACCTGTAATGGTTGTGCATTCCTTTTGTTTGCCTTTGTGCTGAAAAACTGTATTAGTTTATTTCATTCAAAATATTTTCAAAATTATTGAATTGCTTTCATTCAAATGTTTTATGTGCCAAATGTTTTAATTATGCAGATCAGATTCAGCTATTGTAGGTGTTTTAATAGTAGCTTTATTATTCCCTGAACAATACAGGTACTGATGAAACTGCATACAAACATGATGAACAGCGAGAGCAGTAGTCAAAAATAGACATTTGTCAATAGTGGCTTATGCCATTCCTTTAATCACAGCTCTCGAGCTGTGCTTTGTAAATCCCAGGAAATGTTTCATCACTAAAATCCCATCTTAGCATCTCTTCTGCTCCCTTTTGGCCTCTGTCAAGAAATGGTTGTTCACTTGCCTCCTCTTCCCTGGCCAGCTTCTCAGGGTACTAAAGAGCAGGATGCTAAGCTTTCCCTGCTCAGGGAGTTAACCATGTAGATGAGAATCAGTCCTTATTGTAAGATCTTCCCCACAAAGAAAGGGCAGTGTCATGACCTTTCCACTTGACGTAGTTATTCTGGGTGATGAATGTAAAATCCAAGCACTTGGCCTGTAGCTCTAAGTCATTTATAAGGCTGCTAATTGTTGGGGTTAATCAAGTTAGAAATAGAAGTGTTTGCGAGTTCAGCTTTTTTTTTTTTCCTAATAGCTAGTGCTGAAGTGAAGTAGAGGTGTAATAGTGAGGAGTGGAGCAGATGGAGCCAGTAATCTCATATTGCTGGATATTTGCTCGTATGTTTGGAGCAAACAAAGCAACAGATGAAGTTTTCCTAGCAAATTGCTGCTTTTTAGGTAGTGAATGCAACTGTGCAAGAAAATAGGAATTCTGGTGTGTGCTGAGTAAGCACAAGACTAATTTGCCTGGTAGGTCTCACACCTACTTTGAAAATTTTGGCTGAGATTGATAGTGTATCCAGTCCCAAACAAGCTTCTGGGAAAAGTAAGGCCCTCTGACCTTTCTCATCTAACAAAAATAAGTACACACTTGTCTCTTTTGGTTGTTGCTGTTGCTTCCTCTGAGGTTCGTTCCAAGTTAATATTCTCTAGCATTTGTGTGCAAATAGGAGAGCCACAAGTGTTTTTTACTGTAAATGAACACTGATTTTTCCTTCCCTTGCTTCCTGGAGGTGGAGCTTTTAAGACAGGCGTTCCAGACTAGGGAAGATTGCATTTACTTTGCACTCTGTTGTTCATGATCCATGCTGTCGCAATGAAACCCTGCAGATAAGACAGGTGGGTTCCCTTGCCTTCAGTATTGTGCTCTTTGGAGTTCTCTGTGTTGGGGGAGAAGCTCTTTGGTAGGTGAGCTTTGTTCTTCTGAGCAAGAGCACAGAAGGAATACTTATGGTTCAGATTTCATTGCTGCATAACACCTTTATACATACACAATAGTTCATAGCCGCACAGGCTTTGCTGAATGTTTTAAGAAGTTCTTGCTGGTATGGAACTTTGGTCCCAGGGTTTACAAACCCTTGTGGGTCACTCTTGTGTAGTGGCTGTATTCTAATAAATTAATTAGAATTCTATTCATTAAGACAACTGAAATTATCCTTTATCATGCTAAAAGCATAATTTTATTGTGCTTCCCTGTACCTACTAATTATTCTCTAGGCTTATCTTGGATTTGGCCTCTTTTTCTGATGGTATATTGTGAACCAACCACTTTCAATCTTTTTAGTAAAGAACCTTAATTGTTAACATTTGTAACCAACAAGCAAGAAATTGCAAATGGGAGCTGTCTCTGTCTTTCAGCATCTGATCACACTTGCACTTGTACCATTTTTGTACCAAATGTGGTGAGCTTGCTGTACAAATACTGTAGCTTACAGGAAATGGCAAAGTACACAAGTTTTCAGTGTTTTAAGTTCAAGGGGGATGGGATTGGCTGGAAGAAGAAACAAAATGTAGTCCCTTGTGTTTTATAGGTTAAACAGACTGATAAATAGTAGAGAGACACAGGACTAAAACATAATTCATCAAAGAAAGGGGGAAGTTATATAATGCCTAAATATCGTGGGATGATAAATAAGAGTAATTTGCTTCCGCTTAGTGCAGCCATGCCCTTATAAAATTACTATGAAAAATTGCCTGCATATTGTTTTTAAACACAGTAGATTGATGCGTTAGTGAAACATCTGTGACAGCATCCCTACACAAATAAGCAGCATTAAGTCTCACAGGGCAATCTTGTGCCATTGGGTATGGAAAATTAATTTACCTCATAACAGCAACAGATCAAAGTAATTATGAAGTGAGCGCAGTTACTTTTGTGTTGGCTACATGGAAGAATTCTGGTATTCTCAGGAGCCAGGCGTTACTACTTCATCTCCATGCACTCTGATTGACTTTTATCCATATTGTTGTGTGCATAAAATCTTACTGTGAATTTGACTGATGGCTTAGGAGCAAAATCAAAGACAGTGAACTGTCAGAGACATGAAGAACTGAGGTGTTGCTGGGGGAAAAAGAAAATGTACTGCATTAAGTGCTAAAAGAGTCATCTTGTCCTTAGCTGCACACTCGGTAACAGGTTAACTGCAGAGACTTCCTGGAGACCTTGGTAGCACCTCTGTTCTGCTTGGAAGTTATAAACTTGTGATAGCAAAATACAGCAAAACAAACAAAACCCTAAGCTGTAGTGTTTATGGAGTAAGAGGAGGACACTTATGGAAGTAATACCAGGGAACATGGACCAATTGCATACTGGGTGCTTTGTCTGCAAGTTAACATTTCCTGTGGAAAGCAACCTAAAATCAAAAGCTGTTCAGTCAGAGCAGCTGCATAGCAATATTTGGAGAAGCAGGGGAGGAGAAGTCTGTGGCAGCATTGTGGATGAGGATCTGTAACTTAAACCAAGTTTCTGGCTGAAAGTGAAGAGCAGCATAGCACAGCAAAACAAGTACATAAGTAGAATGATAGCTGACAAAATGCACGAAATACCTCCGATGTTAATTACTTACAACTCATTTGGTATGTTGCATACAGATTTGGACCAAATCAAAGAAGTCTAAAAGAAAGTTGCAGGAAAAATCAGAAAGCTCTAAAGAACAGCTTTCAGAGAAACAGTGCAAGTTACAGGATCATTTCGTTAAAAGAAAAAGTATATTTAAAAGTATATTGTAGTGTGCCTCCATCTTATTCTAAGTTTCAGAAATATTTATTTTACTACCATACATTTCAAAAAGCTGGCTAAAATGGACATGTGTCTGCAGTACATTGTAAGAAGGACTCACTTCCACTTTCAGTGGAAGAAGACTTCAACAACAGCCAGATGGGCTCCAGAAGTGTGCAATAGGCAGAAGAGCAGAAGCCATTCCTGATAAAACAGAGCATTGAGGCTTGTCATGTTAAACATCACAAGCAATACAGTGTTTCTGTAAAGAAATTATTTCATTACAGAATACTGTTAAAATCTTTGGAAGTGTTTATTAGGTGTGTTTTAACCTAATTTTGAGTTTAATTTTATCTTCCTCTGTAATGAGGTCTGTAGAAAACATGAATTGCAGAGTGCGAACTCAAAAGATATTTAGGAATATGAATAGAGTACTCTGGAAGCAAATGTTTGATTTATCTTGTAATACATCGTAATTTCGTGGAATACTTCATGAAGCACTTAGTGTCCTATCACAGTAAACACTGAATGCGTCACAGGTAAAGAGCAGCCTTTCAGCTAAGAGGAAGCTGTAATAGAAGAGACATTTAAGAGTATTGAGTTTATAATTAAAAACAACTTTCATTGCTGTACATTTCTGCAAACACAAAATACACACTGAGAAGCAAATCAAACATCTATAAATGTTTATAATAGCAGGGAGACATGCTCATGCAAGACTAATGAATGGGCTTTATGCTTTGGACATTTGTCTTTCCTTAACAGTCATCTGAGAAATCTGAGCAGAGAAAAATGCAATATTTTGCCAAAGGCTTTTTTAGTTTTGTGGGTTTTATTTTTCTTGTTTCTAAAGATCTTCCCCTTTTCCTGTCTTATTTGTGAAGAGCAGTGCTATCAGTAGGAGTGCTATAAAAGACAAAACAAGATTTTAACTGTGGATTACTCATCCTCGTCAGTACGAAGACACCCTTCGCCAAAAAGCCAAAATGCAAATATTATTCAAAAGATGCTATAGCAAGAGGCTTTCACAGCGTACTTCTTATTTGTCTAGAATATATAAAATTTTCACTGTTTCATATTTTTGACATTCAGATAATATCACAGCTTAAATAGGCCTTATTCCCACACCGAGTGAAGAACCTTAATGCTGAAAATTTACTGTAGCAAGGCTTTGCTATAGCTATTTTCTGCCATTTGCCGATGTCAGTGTGTCAGCACGTTGATGTTTTTAGTCGTATTTGTGACTTCTGTCAGTTTGCTGAGAAAGTTTCTGTGTTTGAAGTTTCCTGCTTGGCTGTAGATTGACCACAGGGTGGAAATCTGCCTTTATCTGTCATGAAGATGTGTGACATGCCACAGAGGAGACAAGGAAAGAGGACTGAATAAACAGGTAGTGATAGGGTTTCAATAGTTAGCTGGAAGGGTACTTAACACAGTAAATGAGGATTCCTTTGCAGCAAAGGCACTTAGTTTTCTGTGTATATGTTGCATTTAGGTGGCTCTTAACTATTGGTTTTCATTATTATAACAGGTTTTATTGTTAACACTTAGCCTTCAAGCTTCTGAGTGTGGTTTCTGTACTGATGTGTCATAAGCTACTTTGTTTTAACTAAAACCTCGGCCAGTTGTTCCCTGAAATAAGATTAAAATTCTACTACAGAAGTCTAGCCACTTTACTAAGAAACCAAGTCATAAGATACATTAGTTCTGTTATACTTGCAGATGGCTTTTATCATTTTTTCTCAACAACTCTTTCAAGATCACTTGCATCCCAAGCCTCAGTCTTGAATTTCCTTGTGGCGTTTTTGCAGCTGAAGTCAAAGAGTCTTTTTACCCTTATTCCTGCCTGCCAGCAGCAGAATGAGAAACCAGGATGTTACTACTGCTAATGTCAGCAGCATAGGAGGAGATAAATTATCAGATAAGCATTCATTAAATAAACTGCAGGGAAGTTACAGAACCCATTCAGTACAGAATTTAGCTCGCTTGTGGCAAGAGAGTCTTTTGCCCATGCTGTGAATTAATAGTAATTAAAATCTGAGTCAGAAAACACAGCACCTATAGGAGAGAGTCTGTTTGGAAGATGCACAACATCCAATTGAAAGCTATCCATTTTTATTGAGGCAGAATTAAGACCTGGTGCTTGGTCCACTTTTCAATACATCTGTCACTTTGGGAGATTACCCCTTCAGAGGGGTTTCCTACCATCAACTGCCCTACTGCTACCAATCTAATGCTGTCGGGAGGAGTGTTGAGCTTGCTACAGGATGAACAATATATGAGCCATGACTGTGCAGAAAGTAAGGTGTACTTATTGCATCTTAGCTCTGTTCAGACATGCATTCAGTAGAGAAGTAATGAGGTTGTTATTAAATTCAGTGACTCTTTCAGGGCTATTACCAGAAAGTGTTGCAGAAAGACTAATACAGCAGACGTAGCGTTCTTCCTGATACTAGTGCATGTGTTACTACCAAATGCAGTAAGCTTAGCAGTATTTCGAAAGCAGCCTATCAAGCCTTTCAGATTGCTCTCTTCTCCTTAGTTCAAGTTGACTGATCAGAAAGAGCTGCTGTTCCTGTGAGCCAGACACTGAGCATCAAATGCCCTCTGGTATTCCCTTGTACCTTGCTTGTGTTTCTGTTCTTTATTAATACATTAATTGAACTCAAAAAGTGGTAAACACTTCCTCAAGTGCATTAGTTGAGAAGCTTTGAATAGAATTAAACTATTTAAATTTTAAGTCCTCCTGAAATAAAATCTTCAAGTAGTGGCTTTCCAGCCATGAAGGGAAATTACCAGGGACCTCAGTAAATACAGTCAGCCTAGACAGCTGGAATAGTGGAAGTAATTGAGGTCCTACAGCAGAACAAGAGTGAATGTGCCTTGGATCAAAAGCATAGATAGAGCTGAAGCGTTATTTCTGTTTTGACAGTATTACTAAGAAATTATTCCAATTTATGTTGTTTTGTGGTTAAGATACAATCATACCTTAAGGTAACTACAGAAGCTTTTGTCGCAGGTACTAGTGTGTGAATTTAAGGATGACAAGGCATGCCAGCAGAGTAGTAACCCCAAATGCAAGTGGGAGCAGAGATTACTGCAGCCATCTCTCCAGGTGGAGTTTTAAACATTAATCTTAGCATATGTAGTGGGATAAACAGTCACAGAATCACAGAATTGCAGTCACTAGTTGAAAGCTGGTCTGAAAGTTCTTGATTAGGGGAGAGCTTTAATCTGCTCTAGCTTCTCATGCCTACCCCTGAAGCCCATCCAACTCTTAGTTTCCTAGCTCATATCAGTATGCTGATGTTGCAGTTGAAAGACAAGGATCCCGATTATGAAATCATGAGGTGTCCATTTTATTTCTGATAATGTGGAGCTTAATATGCCAGCGAGGATTATGCTTCCCTGTTACCAAATATACAGCTTGCTCTAGTTGCCCGTACATCTTATTAGGTTATATATTGGAGGAAAGTTTATTCATGTAATGATGTTTGTGACAGCTTTCTGAAGTACTGTCTTGCATCCAGTCATAAAGACACTTAATGTTTAAAGGGTAATACTTCGTAAACCTTAGTTTGGACGACAGAAATTCTGGAATATATTCCTTTCTCTGTAGATGAAAGATCCATCTAATTGTAATATTCATGTATTCTAATTCATCTACATACAACAGAACACAGGTAGTTTGTTTACAAATTAAGGTGAAAAGAATATAGGAAAAGCAGAGGGAGCTACCTAATAAGCATCCATTTCTGACAAGAATCACAGTAACAGGTCCAGAGTTATGAGATAGACTCTATCTTTCCAGGTACTTGCTGTCATTTCACAGAAATATAGGTGTTAGTGTGAGCTACTCTTCTTTATTTCCCCCCTCATCACCCAAGCACACTCAAGCCAGAGTAGAAGCAAGACAGAGCAACAGCTGCTAACCCTGCTTGTTTTCAGTCAAGGCTTGAGTGAATGCTGCTCTTTTAGGGTGACTTACTGTTCTATGCAACAAACTCCTTAAGTTTAGTAGCTCAAGCCTGTATCCTCTCCCCATCCTCTATTGCTATATGCTAGTTCAAACTCAGCCAGCTACACATCCAGTGTACGACTTACAAAAGGTTCATCTATTTTGTGGTTTACATCAGGAATAACTACCTAGGGCTTATTATTATCAGAAATAAAGATTTTATGTATTCATATCTTAACTTCCCTGCCCTTCAGTAATCTCAGAGGCTCAAACCATTGAGTTGCCTTTTTGTCCTGATATAAGCTATCACTCGTACTCAGTGTCCCTTTTGTGGTGTTCTGCAGGTGCACTGTGTCCATAAAGATGAGATGGCATATAGCACTAGTGACAAGAAAACACCAGCAGTTTTAGTGGCAAGGTAAGGTGTCCTGCTTTGTCATTGCTGCTTTCCTAATTAAGTCTTATCACTTATTAGCGTTGTTTCAGCAAGTTACAACTCAGACTTCAATTAAAATAGCTGTCAGAAACCACCAATGTATAAATCTTAACCAAGTTATCATGCAGGTGCCTTTGAGCTCTAAAAGTGTTTGTTTTGTAACTGTACTTCAAGGACTCTGTCAGAATTAACTTGAGCTCACATAATGGACAAAGTCCTCTCCACAACTTAATTCTGTTCAACAAGTGATAGATAGCTGAAAATGAAGCATGACAAATTGTTCCTGATTACATTCATTTCTGTATTCAAAGCAACTCATGTTGAATAGTGTTAGATTTCATGGATCATTAAACTGTCTTTCTCTGGCAGGCTGATGATATACTTTAACGACCATAACCTGTGCTAGTCATATCATAATACTGTTGCAATAACCTGGATTTATCCACTAGAAGGTACTTATTTCGCTGTTATCTTCCAACTTGATTGACTGGAGCATTTTAATGAAAACCTCAGCATTTTAATCTTTGGTTTTGGGAAGTGAAGGAACCAAACCATCAAGTAACTATGCCCTTGAGAAGGGGGAATTAAACAATAATATTTTTCCCCCATAAAGACCATTTTCTGTACACCTATGCACACTTGATTTTCTGTTGATGTAATTACACTGCCAGCATTAACAGCAGTACAGCATGGACTATTGCAAATGGAACAACTGGAAGACTTGCTCAAAAATATTGTACCAGGCACGCAGCAACTTTGTTGACAGCCAAAAATGTGAACCTCTAATTTCTGACATATAGATTTGCTAGACTCAGAGCAACTGTTAGAGGCATCTGACAATTGCCCTGTGAAACATTTTGTCAGCCCTTTAAAATTGATAGCCACTTACAGTCAGCTGGGGAAAAAAAAATGAACAGATCAAGATACACAAAGGACTCTAGATAACTCTGTTTCACGAGTGCACCCTTAGTGGGAACAGTCTTTTCTCTGTAAGAACCTTGAGCTTTGTATAAAGATGAAGTGGCTGTCACATTGAGAAGGGCATTTCTAGCAGTAGCTATGCAGATGCTCTCCCTGTCCAGTGATCCCTGCTGATGGTAATGTTGCTCATATTGCTTTTGAACTACAAAGCTGTTTATACCAGATATGCATGTACTGTCACATTATTGCACCAGTATCCCAAAAGTGACCAGTACAAACTAGTCAGTAGGGCTGCTTTACACTCCCTTGGACCAACCTAAGCAGCACACAGGGACTTGCTTACCAGCAGGCAGATACTTGACACCCCCAGGAGCCCTATGCAGGCACTGTTATGTACCCAACTCAGAGTGCAGGATTAGCATTTCCTTCACACATACATGCACAGACACAAAGACCTGTTGCCAACAAAGCACTTGCAGTTTCACCTCAGCTCCCAGCTATAGCACAACAGTGAATAGCCCAGCCCAACTTAAAGCCAGCCTCCCCTCTTGCTTGCATACGCTATCCCCACTTACAGTTAAGAGTTCTCCGCAGCAACCACTGGTTCAGTGCGGGGAGGAGGAAGGCTGCAGCCCTGAGTGTAGCAGAAAGGGAATGGACCTCACCGGTGCCTGACAGATGCAGGGAGGAGGGAGGAAGAGAGAGAAGGAGGGACTGGAGAGAACAGACTAAAGCCACAGTGCTGAACCCTGGGGCTAGTGGGCTGTCACTTGCAATGCTCCCTACCCTGGGATAGAAGAATGCACATCAGGGCTGTGTTTCTTGCCTGTATTTCTTTATAGACCCTCCTCTTTTTTTCTTTTCTTTTTTTTTTTTTTTTTTTTAAAGCATCCCTTTGTCTCGGGAAGCTTGTTTGCAGAGTTGGAGTTAACAGCTACAGCTACCTCCCCAGGTATCAGCCCTCTAACAGACTCCCACTCATGCATTCCTGGTCATTACAACTGAGAAGGCAGCAGTCTAGAGAAATCTCCAATGTGCTGAGTGTTCCCCAGCACAGCGTGCAATGCTCAGGCCCTTGTTCTACATGCTGGGCTCCAGCAATTAGATCAATCCTCTCTAAAGATAAGGCATAGTTAGCTTTTAAATCAGAAGCAGGAACCTAGGGGAAAAAAAATAATCTATGCACTTCTTATCAGACTACTTGACACTTAAATTTAGGATTATAGCATTTGCCTTATCTCTTTTTGCATTCCTTCCTCCCCCTTGCTCCCCCAAACGTAACAAACCTCGGGCCCTGTTAGCTGATGTAGTAGTACTTATTCCACTGTGACCATTAGAGCTTCCTTGTTCCTCAGGAATCCAAAGGAGGTTGGGAAGACCAAGAAGTCCAGCCTTCCCTTTTGCATACAGAGGGAGACAACTAGGTCCAGAACTCTCACTTACCTGGGATGAGAGCCCCTGCTCTGGTTCTAACTTTCAGGAGGTTACTGGAGTGTCACTCCATGGGGACAAGTAACAAGAGACCTTTATTCCAGTATTCCAGTCTAGGCTGAAGCAGGTAATAGAAATGTTGCTAGAAATCAGGAAAATGAGGAGTACTGCCACAAGCTCATTATCCAAAAATAGGTTGAGAATTTCTAAGAATAAGAGAGAATGATCAGACATGCTTTGAAAAGGACATGTTCTGGCTTTATTTGTATCAACTGTCATTAGGAAAGAAATCTTCAGTGACGTACTACAATTAAGTCATACGGAGATAAAATACACTATAATTGGTTTGTAGGGGAAGAAGGGGGTGGGGGGTTGGGGGGAAGTATATATATACACACACATATACAGGAAAGGAAAGCTTAAAGTTAAAGACAGCTAGAAAGCAGCGCTCTCACCATCCATAGTCACAGTCCAAGGTCTGAAGTCAGTCCAACAACATTGCCCGTTTCAAGACAGGAAAGAAACACAGCAACAAACAAGAACACTCATTGCGTTCTCTACAGTGAAGCCGGAAACCAACTCCTTTACCAAAGCTTAAATGCCGTACTGAGGCCAAGGGAGGAGGCTGTGGAGGCCCCGGGTGAGGCCATTAAGCTGAGTACCTTAATCTGCAAATGAAACCTAGCAGCTCTCACATCTCTACTGCAATCCTCACTGCTGGTATTCTGCAGGGCACAAGTGACACAAGTTGGCAGCATACTTCATAGTGGAAGATGAGAGAGAAACATCAAGCTGTGCTTTTGTGATATAATTGCTATAAATGGAAATGAAGGTACGGTGTTGTTCACTGGAAATTTAGAATTAAGGTACAGCACTATTTGCAGGGGTTCAATAGCAGAGTGCAGCTGGTATGCAAGGAATCCGGTTCACAGCAGTTCCCTAGGTAACCTTAGGTGTTGGTAACATCAGGAGAACATGATTTGCTGATGCTAAGAAGAAATGTTATGGAGGATGGAGCAGAGTAGAGACTGGCCAGGTTCTAATATAACATCACTGGAATGGGAGCATGAGGGTACTATGGTAGTGATTAGCTGCATACCTGCTACCCAACAGTTCACTATCTCTTGACAAAATGCCATCCTGAGTGAATTTAGCTCCTTATACACTCATTAAATGCTCATTAGCATTTAATGCTAATAAATAAATGCATCAATAAAAAAAAATAATAAATGCATCAATAGCATTAAATGCTATTAATTATAATACCAAAACACACCTCTATCGCAGAGGTTACTTGCCTCCAAGGTGCAACTGTCCCCCACTGAGCCTGTGCTCTGAATTTTTTAGCCTATAACTTTAGAAGTGAGGCAAGAGAATTTTACACAAATCATAAGCAAAGGTATGTATGCGGCTAGGGACGCTCAAGCTCCACCTGAAAAATAAGAAATAGTATAAAAATCATTTAACTTTTATCATTTAACATTTAAATGATAATCATTTATCATTAAATGATAAAATCATTTTATCATCCTCCATTTAAGAGGGGGAATGTCAGGGAATGTACCATCAAATGTCAGATATGAACCATCTGACTTCTGGGATCAGTTGATTGGCTGAGCTTCTCTTTTCCTGTTTATCGATGCCTATTGGGTAAGATTCACAGAGTCAGTTATACCATGTGCTTCCTTGGGAAACTTAGAAGGCTCTGTAGAGTTGCTTATAATTTAATGCATTTGTGGTTGGTTGCATTATTGGTATTCTTGGTTAAACTCATGCTTTGCAGACAGTGTTTTTATCACTGATAATCCAAGGAACCCGTGATCTGTTACTTTAATAAAGTGCACTGTTCATTAATCTAGCTGTAAGAGTTCTTAATCTGGGCATGGCCTAAGCTCTTAAAGATTGATCATGCAAGCTCATTTGATGCCATTAGATTAATTGGGCAGTGTGCTGAAATAGTGAATGTCACTGAAGTTATAGTGCCAGATTGGACATCAGTCAGAATCTAAGATCAGCTGCACCCAGACCTTCTGATGTCTGAGGACAGCTAGAAAATAAGGGGCTATGTTTTCTGCCAAATTAGGTTGCTCTTTATTGTGCTACCTCTCTGCAGCGGTGTGTAGAGAGGGTGACTAGTGGGAAAAGTGTGTGTATATGCTGCCAACACCCTTTACACAGTGGTCTTTATTACTCATGCTGTAAGATATATATGGTCAGTTCAATTTTCTTTTCTTTCATGGCAGTAGGAAAGTGATTGACAAGCACAGACCGAACTGATTTGCCTACTGTCCCTCAAAGCAGTCAACAGTTGGAATTAGAAGGGACAAATTCAAGTAATAAGTGTGGGGTCAAACAGGCAAGGAAGATGCTTCTTCAGTTTTTTTCAGATCCCAGATTCACCCCAAGCCTGTTTAAGTGTTTAAGTATGGGCACTAGGCTATTCTGACTTGCAGCTAGTGACACAGTCGGCTTCTGTAGACACAAGAAGGTCTCCACGGAGTCTGTGTGGAAATAGGAGCATAGGTCTCACACTCAAGCATTTATCTTTCATTATGCACCTCAAAATATGTCATGAGGCTGGTGACTGTTGTGTCCTATCTGGCCTGATGGAAGAATTCCCCTGAAATTTGAAATACCTCATTCAAAAGAAGCCTGTTCTGCTAGGAAAAAATAGAAATGTCCCTGGTCAGCTGTAGACTCTGCTTTTTTGTGTGTGCATACATTCAGATGTGCTGGTGTCAGATTTGTGACACAGGTGAGTTGCTCGCTTGTGATGGTGTGAATGTTTGCTTACTCTTCTTCTGAGTGGCTTATAAGGAGCTAATGCACTGGGGGCTACCTTGTGGTCTAGTCTCTTCTTTTAACTAGAAAGTCTTTTCCTTGTAAGAGGGGAAGTTGCCATGCAGGGCATGAAGTATGCCTAGATCTGCAGTTAAAGACACTGCTTTGTTCTTGCAGCTCCTGAAGCAGATTGTGATGTTGCTGTTGCATGGCATGTGGCTGTAGGAATATTCACATGGTATCCGGTGAAGATAATTATCCTCTCTTCTCTACGTACTAGAGCAAGTGTTCCCGAAAGGTATCCTGCCCAGGGTGAGTACTTTTTTTTTTTTTTTAATATATAAATAAAGGTTAGCTGGACTTCTTTCTGTCTGCCGCTAGACACATTAGAAGGAGTTATCTGTCCTCTCCAGCATAGCATCTCAGGCATGTATACAGTCATTATGTGCTGTGTGAGAAGTGTCTGAGAGGCTAGGATGTCACTGACAGATAAAATAATAAAAATGGTTACAGACTTCATACTAAGTGTAAAGCCATGATTTAAGTTACAACAGTGATTTCTCACTTAGGTCTGGAAGCTCATCAATAAGAAATGTCAGGGATTAAGGAAACTCTGGAATTATAAACCCAAGGAATGTATGAATTATTTTAATAACTCAGCAGGATCTTAGGACAGCACAAGATGGAGTGTTTCTGATAGAGGTGATGGCTTTGAAAGTTCCCCAGGATATTTAGAAGAGTTTACCTGGAACAGCTGTTATTAGTTAAAGCCCATCCAGAAAGGTTGTCTTTAAAATATAAATAAATTAACAGAGATAGTGCTGGAAGACTGAATGTGGGCACTCTTTGAAGGAGGGAAACTACAAAGAGCTACCTGTTGTGTAGACTGGTTAGCACATGCTGAGACAAGATCTCATTTTTCTCTGTTCTGGTATCTCAAATTAATGCTAGGAAACACCCAAAGTATTTAGCTATGGGAAGGTATTGGAAATGTACATGTTGGGTGTGAGCTAGCAACGTGCAGATTTAGGAAATTAAGAATCTTTTCCATGGTTTTCTGTAGAAGCAGAAGCCAGAAAGTATTCTTAAGATGGCAGCTTTTCACTTGGAGAATAAGAGATGCTCCCTAATGAATTCTGAACTCTTGGTAAAGCCTGACTCTTAAGAAGCTATCCTGGCATGGGGATATTTACTGGGTATCAGTGATTACGCTCTGACTAGTGCAGGCAGGGAAGATTGAGTATTGAAAAAGGATTGCTTGTTGGTATTTCAGAGCCTCAAATAACTACCTTTTGAACTTGAGGCTCTCCTTTCTCTTCGGATGACATATCTGTCCTTTTTCTCCATTTTCTATTAGATGGCAATTTAAAAGGAAACTTTTATTAGCTAAAGTAACGTTCTGCAGCTGGTGGCAATAGCTCTCTAGCTGTGATTTGTTTTCAGTCAGATGGGTTGCTTAGGGCTTGAGGAAAATAAGGCTAGGATGACTTTTCTGGTGTGGCGGGAATAAATACTATTTTAGGGGAGTAAGAAATTAAATATGTGTTACATACAGAAATGAGTTCAGAAGTTAAGGCAAGCTCAGAAGTATGTTTGAGATATAAGGTGTGTTTTTATTTCAAAATAGAAGAGCATGAACCCAGAAACTCGAGAGTTTCAGCGTTTAGCTTCATTGTCTTGCTGTGACACTGCACTGGATAGACTTGAAAACTGGATTTTGGCTATGGGAGACTACATGAGAGATGCAGGTAAGTCCTGGATGCTTCTAAGTGTAAGTCAAAACATTAAAAAAGCAAACAAACAAACAAACAAACAAAAACAGTTTTTTCATCTGTACAGCTTGTTTGGTGCCCCTCACAGGACAGTGAGATGTGTCTGTTTTTTGAGATGCATGTGCTTTATTTTTCTCCTTCCTTGCTATTTCAGAATAAATTATTAGAGAGACCTTTTGGGAAGACACCTGCTGAGCAGCAGGTTATACAGGAGAGGTTACACAAAAAGACCTGAGGGAACTCAGGAAAGATGCAAGGTTTGGCTGGGTGCTTGTAGTGGTGCTTTTGAAAAGGAAGGAAAAAAGGAGAAAGGAAAGGAATGAAAAAGGTAAGCAGGAAAAAGGAAAAGGAGAAAAGGGTCAGGCAAGGCAAGAAATAAAGGGAAAGGCTCAGGGAAAGGAGGAAGGTAAGGGGAAATGGAAAGGCACAAGATGAAAGGGAGAGGATGAGGAGAAAGCAGGGGAAAGGCAAGGAGAAAGTGGAGAGAGGAATGTAGGAAGGAAAGGCAGGAAAAGGCATGTCTGCTTTTTTTTTTCCTTCATAGTTTCTATTTATTTGTTTCAATGACCAAATGGAAAAGCAGAGGCTGGGGTAGTGTTGCTGTGAGAGGGCTGCCCTGGGGCTGTTGAGTCAAGGCTGATGTCTGCCCCAAACCACGGGACACTGGGGAGCCATGCTTCATCTCTGCGTTATCTCTGCCCTTCATGTTCTGGCATAAATACAGGTGCAGCTCCAGGTGATTCACGGATAACTGCAGAAATCAAAGTTCAGGGAAATGGCAGGGGTTTCCTTCAGACAGTCTTTAAGTGTGAGCAGTGTAGCATTGGCTTTAAGTAGTTAAAGAGCAGATAAGAAATAAATGTGAGCAGGCTCACTGACGTGAGTTCTATCTCCTGATGAGTAAATACAAACTAAAGAAGTACTGGCTGATCTAGTTTGGGAGGATTGGATGCACATTGGAAATGAGGAAAAAAAACAACAACTATGCAGTTCAGGTAATGGCTGCTGTACAAAATAAATGAAGCAATATAGTGGGGATGAAGGGGGCCAAAACATCTCCTGGGAGAACACTGTGGGTAATGGCTGATTTTTTAGAAACCTTTTAATAATATCAGGAGTGATTTAATGAATACCGAAGTTTTTGCTTAATATATGTGATTATTTTTCTTCATTTTATATCTTCATTTTATCTACATTTTATATCTTCATTCTTCATTTTATATCTATTGTTTTATACAAATCCATTATGAAATGCTGGAGTTAAAATAATAGCTGTCAGTCATAATGCCTCCTTTAATGTCTCCATGTGAGGAGAAAGGGGATTTAATCTGAAAATGAGGATTTTTGCTCTCTGGACTCCATCTGTGATTGGGATGTGGCATAGAGTGAGTAGTTTGGCTGGGGAACCTTTTTTGTGGCTGCACATTGCTATGGTCACATCCAATATCCCATATCCCGTATCTCACTCCCCACATCAAATCACATTCTGGCTGCATCTTAGGGAGTTTATTGGGAGGTCTTTGCTGAGGCTGAGTGGACAGGTGAGGGGCTGCAGGTGTTGCTGATCTTGGTGTTGCGACTGGTCCTGTTCTCATGGTGCTGTGAGGACTGGCTTTGTTTTTCCCAGCGGAGCATGGTGGTAGAAAGGCAGTCAGTGGCGTTCATCTCTTTTTCCAGTAGTAGTAGGTGACACAGACACGTGTATACCCTGCTAAGGCAACTCATTGGGGAGCATTAAGCATGTAGCTAATTTTAATTACAATTACACAGGCCAATATAATAAACTCATTCACTGTCACCTTTTTTCTTGACCAGTGGCGTGTTGGAAAACCTTCGATTCTTCTTGTTCTGGCGACTAGGGGGCACTCTGCCCTGGCCTCTAGGGTGCCCCTTGTGCTGTCTGCTGTGCCCCTGCTGGGCCCTCACCATCCTTGCATCCACTCAGCCCCCCAGCTCCCTAGACACTCATGTGTCTGATGGTCTGGAAAGATGCTGGGGAGAAGTTCCTTTGAGCACATAGCGGAGACCCTGTCACCCTGGTGATGGGGGGGAGGGGGAGAATCCTGCCTATGAGCTCACAAGGACAGAGATACTGGCAGCATCTCCCTCAGCATCCCAAGCACCAGATCAGCCACCTGAGACCCTCCTATTCCCCCCATTGGTATTCAGACCATGATCATGCCTTTCTTTATGCTTGGTGATGGAGAAGTATCTTTGGGATGAGCTGCTGCCACATGCCCATGCACAGGGGTGGACGGGCACCTCCTAAGTGCTTCATCCTGCATGGTGCTGGTGCTCAGCATCACCTTCCTTGGTTTTTTCTTGCTTCCTAGGCAGCTTTGGCGGAGCTCTATGCACCCCAGCTCCCATACTCAACTCTACCATATACCCTGCCTTTGCCTGTCTCCCTGTCACCTCGCAGCCCTTTTCCACCAGCACCATTCCAGCAGTGAGACAAGACAAGGATGCTTTCAGGACTTCATTGGCAGGCTCGCACCCTGTGGGTGGCCCTGGTTTTTTTCAGTAGAGGGAACACTGAGACATGACATCTTGTCCAGGAAATCTGCCAGTGCGCTAGGAGCCAAATTACTGGTCTGACTTCTTTCTTGGGGAATTCTGCAGCGCATGTTTTTGACCTGCAGGACTCAGCATTGTGAGCTCCCCTTGTTACCACAATGACCTCACTGCCACTGTTTCTCTGTTGGTAAATGTCATGGAATCATTGAAGTTGGAAAAGACTTCTAAGATCTTCTAGTCCAACCATCCCCCTACCACCAGTACTGCCCACTAAGCTGATGTCCCTAGATGCTACCCTTTACTTAAATGCCTCCTGGAATCGTGACTCCATCACCTCCCTTGGCAGTCTGTTTCAATGCATTACTACTCCTTTAGAGAAGAAATTCTTCCTAATAGCCAACCTGAACCTCCCGTGGCACAACTTAAAGCCTTTATCTCTTGTCCTATTCATGTTACCTGGGAGAAGAGGCCAACTTTCACCTCAACACAACCTCCTTTCAGGCAGTTGTTGAGAGCCATAAGATCTCTCCTGAGCCTCCTCTTCTCTTGACTGAACAATCCCAGTTCCCTCAGCCACTCCCAATAAGACTTGTGCCCCAAACCCTTCACAGCTTCACTGCCCTTTTCTGAACCCATTCCAGGACCTCAATGTCTTTCTTGTAGTGAGGGGCCCAAAACAACATGGTACTTGAGCCTCTGCAGAGCTGAATTTAGGGGGATGATTACCTCCCTGGTTCTGTTGACTACATAATTTCTGGTATAAACCAGGATGCCATTGGCCTTCGTGGCTACCTGGGCACCCTGCTGGCTCGTGGTCAGATGAGTTTCTACCAGCACTCCCAGATCTTTCTCCTCCACACAGCTTATCAACACTTTTGCTTACTTACCATGTTTTTACCTGGCCACCTTTTTATTTTTATTTATTTATTTATTTATTTATTTATTTTGAGTCTGCCTTTTGCCATGTACCTTGAAGCAGTTGGATTTTCACTCCCCTGGCAGTGGCCGCACTTGGACTTCTGGGCTGTCTTGTAGTGTGCCATGTCAGCCTCTACTTTTGCACCTTCTGAGGTGCACCCTCACAGCCACAATGTGGCTGACTGTCCCTAAGGAAGCAAAATGAGAAGGTTTGCCTCAGTGTGCCACCAAATAGCTTATAGCAATGCCTCATCCAGTGTTTCATACAGCATTTCCAATCAATTTCCTTCTCAAAAGCAGATTTCTAAGCAAATAAATTACCAAAAAAATGTTGTTAAATAGAGACTCGCTAGAGTGTAGATGAGTTAGGAAAATCTCTGGGTAATTTCCCAACTTGCTTCAGCTCCAAACACGGTCTCCAAATGAGTGAAGTAGAGCTATAGAGCCCTTGAAATGCCCCTTCACCAGGTGGTGTACATGATTGTTGCTTCTTGTCAGATTCATTTATGGCTTTTTGTGTTCAGATGAATATTCATCTTGCTGGTCTGGGGCTGGTCTGAGGTAGAGCTCAGCTGTTGTCCACTTTTTCCCTGCTTAGCACCAGAGTGTAAGCTGTGAAGCACCCCTCATCAGCAGGGGTTCATGAGCAATTATTCTAAAGCTATTTTTAGCAGATTTCTGTGTTTTTCTTTTTTTTTTTCTTGAGAACTGAGAGAGTAGGTGGTAATTCAGCATTATAGCGTAGTCAAAGAATAGACAGGCTATCAGTGTTTATACCAAAATAGCCTATTGTCCAGGTGTCTTCTATAGATAAATGGTAATCGGACACTCCTCAGCTCTCTAAAGGTCACTAATCCTTTTGAGTATCCAGGCTTTTGAGTATGGCATTTTGTTATGTTGTTGTTCTGCACATCTAAAAAGGCTGTCACCATCCTACATAATGTGTCAGCTGGCGTATTTGCTCCCATGGGACATCTTGCAGGGAAAAGCACTTTGCATTTTTGCTGCATTTTCCAGCCATGGGTGCAAGCCATTTTTCTTCCTAAGGCTGACACCCACCAATCACTAATCTCCGAAAGAGCCACCTCTGTCCTCACAAGGAGACTTACTGCATGATCCTTAAATGCTTGTAGGGTACAAGGGACAATTTCCCTCCACGTCTTCTTCTGCACTGATGTAGGGCAAGAAAATCCTACATGGGGTCCTATAGCAATGTGTTACTGTTATCCCTGAGTTAATTATTAAAATCAGTCCCGAATTGGATGTGCTGGTGCACTGGGCCAAGGATGCTCGCCCCCTGCTCTGCAGCCAGGATTAATCATTCATCCGGTGACACACAGGAGCTCCATATAAATTCTGGGCTGGGTTTCCCACTGATGCTTTTTTTGCACGGAGAGGAAAAGCAGTAGTTGTGAGCACGCTCTGCTGTGGCTCCACCACACCATGAAGGCGGTTGTTACCTTCCTGCTCCTGCTTTTTGTAGTAACTCAAGCCGAACATCGAGGTAAGAATGCTTACTCTCAAAATCCTTGTACTGCTGTGGCTGGAATGGATTTACTGCCCCGTACTAAGTAGGGTCTATGATACTGTACATATTAATGTATTAATGATTTTGAGCTTATAAAGAAGTTCAGAAATGAGGTTTACCATCCCCAGTTCTTTTTCTGTATGGAGCCAAGTGAATTGAACACCTAGTTTGTACTCTCTGCTAAAAAATGTAAGGAAGCATAGATCTGCCCCAAAATCGTGCCAAGACATATGTTTTCACTGCTGGGTTATGGAAATGAAGAGGAATTCAAGATGCTCACACCCAGAGCAGGATAGGCTCATATTTGCTTTAGGATAGCCTCTCAGTTTCTTCTCCTTTCAGAGACCGCCTCCCCAGTAACAACAGCAACAAAATTCTAAACCATTACAAAAGAGTATTGACTGCTTCTCTTCATCTCTCTCTGCTTCAGAGATGCAGTCTTCTCTGCAGACTTGCCAGGATTTGTAGCTGTTTAGCCACCTATCTCTGTCTTGCTTTTCTGTTTCTAGAGCTTTGCTTGGTTGCCAGTAGATAAATCCTCCCCAAAACAGCCTATGATTTCATGCTGGATCCTCAAGTTTACCTTCTTTAAAAACCTTATCCTTTTTCTTTTCCCATTGCAACCTTGTAAAATTACTTTTTTTGTTGTTTTTTCTTCCCTCCTTCTGAAACAGTTTACCCTTTGGCTGATATATGATTTACCCCATGGTTTGGGTAAAATGACCCTGCGCCACAGTGGTGGAGGCAGGGGCTGACACACTACAAAAACGGAGATTTGCAGCAGCATGAGAGATACAGACAGGAGAATGCAGCTATGACTGGAACCCTTGGGAGAACAAAGGAGATCTTTCTGTTCCAAAAGCCTCTACAAGAATCATGTTAAAGTTGCAGTAGAGAGGCCAGCAGGGTATCAGTGTTTACCCTGCTGGTATCAAAGTCTAAATGATGCCTTTTGCAGCAAAAAGTCAATACTGTTTCCAAGGAATGCAAGAGTATCTGGGGATGTTTGCTGCCACCTGCTCCTGACCTCCACAACTCCAGATAAAAGCCAACACTGCCTGTTTCACCCAAGCAGAGTGGGCAAGGGGCAAGTGTCCTTTTTCTTCATCTCTCCCAACTTTAGGGAGGATTTTTCCATCTCCCCCTTTCTCTGGATGCAAACTGCAGCAGCACAGTCAGGATACCAGAGCTGCTGCCTAGTACATCGTAGGTCTGACATGAGGGGAGAAGCTGTTGCATAAGAGAAGACAACACTTAAGCAAGGAATAGAGCAAAATTTACATTCTTGTATACGACTGTTTAGTAAAGAAATGAGAAGTGAGAATAAAATGTAGACATGGTAAAGACTTCCCTGGGTAAACTTATGGGAAGAAGAGTAACACCATTACAATCCTCATCGTAAAGTATTTAATAATTATTTTTCCTTTATAAGAGAAAGACATGAGCTATTTTCTACAGTAGATTCAATGGAGCTGAGCAGTACTGTTTAGGTTTTTTTCTGCATTAAGGAAGGTCACTGGGAAGGATGCATCCACTTAAGCAGAATTGGTGAACTGATCCCACATCCTCCTTTTTCCTTGTCTACAGGTAAACCATATGTTCGGGACAAAGTCTGCCAAGAGTTCAAGACCATGGGGAAAGATGACTTCCGAACCATGTAGGTACCTCCTACAATATTTACCCTTTTAAGAAACTAAGCTCAGAGATCTCAGAATTAAACAGTAGCTTAGAAACAGACAGATTTGTTTGCTCATTTATTTATTCCCTGCAAGTGAGGGCTCCTGTAGCTCTTAATGGGCCTGTCTACTGGAGAAAGGCTTCCTCTGTAGTTGAACTCCACAAGACAGCTATGTGGTCAAATAATGAAGAGTTAATGTGCCTAAGGCCTCCTCCAGGCAAAGACCTGCCACCTCCAGCCTGGCAATGCTTTTTCAGTGTGCTGCAGGTTCTTGAAGGACTAGCACTGATGCTTTCCAGGTGGTTTTGTTAGTGTTTTCTGAGGCTGATGTTGGTGTAGGTAATTAGGAAACGCAGTGAGTTCATCCTCTTTTCTTTGTTGTTCTCAGGACCCTCATCATGAACAGCAGGAAATTCTCCAATGCCACCTTCAAGGAGATCAGCCACCTCGTGCATGAGATTGTCTCACTGGCGGAGACCTGCTGTGCCGATGGTGTTGACCCATCCTGCTATGATGCTGGGGTATGTTGACAACAACCAGACCTTGGTCCCTAAAATTTTAGATGCATTTGATTCAGGGGAGTGTTCTCCAGCCCTGGGCAAGCAGTGTCTTCCCTTCCCACAGTCTTCAGCCCTGTCAGCCAAGTCCTGCAGCCCTGACTCGCCTTTCCCTGCCCATCCGGGGACAGCCGCCTGCTGTCTCCACCAAGGCCTGGAGCAGAAGCTGTGCCTGGCTGCCCTAGAGCACCCACCGCGCCAGCTGCCCCACTATGTTGAGCTTTCCAATGAGGAAATCTGCCAGGCGTTCAAGAAGGATCCAAAGGATTTTGCTGACAGGTAAGGGCCAGCAGGTTGAGCTGGGCTGGAAAAAGGGCATGGTCGTGCTGCGATGCCAAGCCAGGGAGCACACAAGCTGGCCAAAGAGTGGAAAACAGCTGAAAATTGGAAAGCAATCTGGAAGGATTCTTGATGTTTATCTTAAAGCCTATCCTTTTCTTTCTGAGATGGAGTAAGAAGGTGTGCACCTCTGTCACTTAGGGCCACCAGGCTCTCTGCCAGGAGTAGCCATGTCACTTCACAAAAGTGCTTTGATCATAAAAACACCGTATTAATTGCTGTAGCTATCTATAGGGGCCAGGAGGTGATAATCCCTGTAGCTTAGAGTACTACACATATCTCTCCCTATCTTGTCCCTGCACCATTGTCCAAAGCAGAAGCAACTGTCTTGGCCCTTGGCCAACCCCTTTCTGGGGCTGCAAGTGCATCCAAACAAAATGTTGGTGTATTCTGGATTTGTGCAGGCCCCAAGGACAGGATTATGCAAAATGAATGAGAAATGGAGGTGGCCATGCAAGTGATTAGAGAAGGGGTATCAGGTGGGTTGATGGATTGATACATTAAGCCAGCAGCACAGGAAGGTACCTGCAGGACTGACATCCCCAGTATCGCTATGATATTCCCATACAACACATCTGCAACCGAGCACATGGTCCTGGAATGTCTGAGGGTTGCCTCTGACACAGGTTCCTGCATGAGTACGTCAGTAGCTACGGCCAGGCGCCATTGCCTGTGCTCTTGGGCTCCACCAAGAACTTCCTTTCCATGGTCTCCACTTGCTGCATATCACCATCGCCCACTGTCTGCTTCTTGAAGGAGGTGAGTCTGCCCCCACAACCTGCTTTTCCCTTTTGTTCATTTACCCCACAAATGCCCATAGCCAAGGGTGGCTTAGCCCTGGCCCCACTCATCTTCAGCCAAGCAGCACGAAGGTGCTGGTTATTTGCAGGTTTTCTTCTACTTTTGTTCTCAGGGATTTTCAAGTTAAGTTACTGGGGATTTTCAAGTTAAATTACTGGTCACCACACTGAATTTCTAGATACACGTGAAGTTGGTGGGACATTCACCCAGATGATGGTGGGACAATTTTCATGAAACTCTGATTAGCTTCAAAACTCAGTATGAGAAGAATTGTTTTTGCCTTTTGTAGCTAATAGTAAAAGAAGACCTGAATTACAGGGCTGCTCACAGTATAGCCAAGCAGCAACTTGGCAAGTACAGTATTCTTTATCTTGCCTGGGAAGAGTTATCCATTTTTCCTGATGGATGTCTCCACTCTACCATCCACTCTACTGCTACGTATTCTTTTTGCAGAAACTACAAAGAAAAACTCTTTCCCTACTCACTTTGATGTCAAACAGAGCTTGCTCCCGCTTAAGAGGATATGGGAAGGACAAAATGAAGTTCAGGTAAAAAGGGGAATAAGGTGTTTTCTGCTCTTCAGGGTAGATGGGGAGTGCTTTCCTATTTTAGATGGTAGTTCCTTTCTGGTTTTCACCAAGATATATTCCAGGAAAGATGGAGGTTACCTCCAATGGAACAAGGCTGGTTGGTCTGTATGAGAGTGCTCAGTTGCTACAATCGTGGGTGGCATGCGCGGTGTGTGGGGAAAGGCAAAAGTACAGATACAAAAATACTAGACATGCTTATGGTCTTTACTTAAGTTTGTGGAATAGATGTTCTGAAATTCTTCAGTTCCCTGTATGCTTTGTCTGCCCAGCTACCTGACCATGCTTGCCCAAAAGATACCAAGTGCTTCATTTGAGGACCTTTCCCCTCTGGCAGAGGATGCAGCTGAAGTGTTCTCCCAGTGCTGTGACTCAGTGGCTGAAAATTGCATTCAGCAGAAGGTAGGACTGTCCTGAGCCACCTTAGTTCTGGGAGGCTCCCCGAGCAGTAACCAAGCTACATATTTCCTCTCCTCCTCCCTCTGCAGTTGTCGGAGCACACCACAAAGATCTGCACCACACTGTCAGCCAAAGACAAAAGGTTTTCTGACTGCTGTGCAGGAAAAAACATCATACAAAACTACTTCTGCATCTCTGCCTTGCAACCAGCTGTGGCCCCCAAACTGCCTGAGCTGCAGAAGCCAACCAATAAGCAATTGTGTGATGATAATGGGGCCCTCCACATCGGAAGGTCTGTACTCCAGTACCCACTGCAACTAGTTTCCTTACTCCTTCTCTTTGTCACATACATATTTATTATATATATATATATATTGTAATTATGTAATTATATATAATTATTACTTGAATTTTTGTCAGTAGCCTAAAGAAATCCACATGCTGTTAGGAGAAGGGTTTGGAAGTGCAGGCTGTACATTGTTGCTGCATCCAAGAACTGGCAGCTTTGATGGGATCAGCCAGTGCTAAATTTTAACTTGTTTTTCCTATCATGCTGCAGGTACTTGTTTGAATTGGCACGGAGGTACACCAATGTCCCTGACGTCTTCCTTGGTAAGCTGTATGATGCCTCTGAAAATGTCATCAGGGAGTGCTGCTCTGCTAAGGATGCTTCAACCTGCCTTGACAGCAAGGTAGCTGGGAGGAATGCCTGTTATTTCACACAACATAAACTTCCTTGACATTGTCCACCGCCTTCCTCTCCAGCTCCCGCATCCCCCCTAAAACCTATGCATGTATGGTCCTGGTTATAGAAATACCCCTCTCTTATGCCACACAGCGACAGCAAATGGGAGCAGAGCTGCCTGCCTTCCTCGAAAGGGCCAACCAGTTCTGTGGACAGTACAATGAGCTGAATTTCCTTGACTTCAAGAAGAGGTAAAGGCTCCTCACCCTCTGGTGGTGCTCCCAGAAATGCATGCTTAATTTAGCCACGCTTTTGCATCTGAAATCTGTCTGTATGAGCTTAACTTCTCCCATGGCATCAGGAAAGTTTTCCCTGCAGACCATGTCATCAAATTTTGGCAGTGCACTATGGTTTGGAGGTTAAATGCACCATGGTCCTTGCAAAAGCTCACCCCACACACTGACACATTCTCCTGTCTGGCCCCAAATTGCAGGCTGAGGGACAGCATCAGGCAGACCAGGCCAGATGCTAGCCCTGAGCTGCTGACACAGCTGACAGACCAGAGAGCTGATTTTGCCTCTACATGCTGCCCAGCGAACTCACCGCCACTCTATTGTGTTGCGCAGGTAAGGCATCTCCCATCACCCCAACATTGTGCATGAGACTATACCTGCCCTGGGTTTGCCAAACTTCAGTTCTTTCTCCCCTCTTGCAGGTGACCGCAGAGCTGGCAAGTACTTGCAAGCAGGGCTCCTGCATGCTGGTCTAGGTGTGAGACAGTGAAAAACAAGGTGAGGGGTCCAGCTGGAGGATGCAAAATGCTGCTGTTGTCTGGACCAGCTTGCAGCCCCCTTACTCATACGTTGCTGCAGCCACAATAAACATATTATAAAAAACACCCTTGCCCTGGGGAGCTCCAAAACCTTGCTTTCTTTATTTTTGCATTGTGGTATGCCCAGTTCCAAAGGGGGCAGCTCACAGACAGGAGGTAAAGGTCCCAGCTTTGGCTGTGGGAGTTAATGTTCTAAACAGTTAGGCAGGAAAATCAAAATCATGTGTCAAGCATCCACTGAGATGGTTTTGCTCTTTCTGACTGTTCGGATATCGTCACTGTGGAAGGAGGCAGTAACATCACAAGGTGGGCTGTCTGTCTGAAGTAAAACAGCTCAAGTTTCAGCAATTGCCAAGAGATGGCGCCTGTAACCCAGAGAAGTGAGGAACGTGCTGTGTCTATATCATCTCCTGGCCTTGCTGCTTCCCAAAGTGGGCTGGGTGACGCTGCTCCCAGTGCTCCCAAAACGGGATCTTCATAAGGCTACCTGACCTCACTCCAAATAAATCTCCCTGTCAGAAAGCTGGGAAAAGTAACGCTATGTCCCTGTCACCTGCATGAGTTCTTAGAAGGAAGGGGATCATTTTGATACTGTTTTTGGCTGATGGTACCTTTTGCCACCTGTAAGAAACTTGTAAAATGAGAATTGAGCTCCAAGTGCTAAGCTTGGCTGTGCTGGATAAAGTCTAGCCTCACAAGATATTGTAACAGCATAACAGAGCTGAGATTATTTGTGAAAGTGAACGTCTTTCTTGACAAGACTTAGCACAGAATTCCTGGGAATTCAGAGAAACGAGCCACACTGACGACAGTTGTGGCAACCGTACATCAGGGTCACCAAAGCCCCCATACACAAAGGTTATCCTTTTCTGCTGTATGCACGCAAATCTTTCCGCAAATCTTTCCACAAATCTTTGCTGAAGTGGGTTAAGAAGGCATTGTCCCATCCTTGCTTGCTCCAGCTTAGCATACCCGGGCTGTTATGGAGCATCTGACAAGCAGATCTATCACTTCACAGCCCCTCATTTTTGGTGCCCAAAAGGTGTTTTGACACTAGGTGATGGATCTTCTTTTACACACCAATTTTAAAGGTTTTAAACACAGCCTTAAGTATCCAGCTTTGCCAGACATCACATGAACTATGTATATCTCTTCTCAGTGCTGTGTTTTCTTCATGAGGCCAGGTATCATCTGAGCCCACACCACAAGGAGCAGGTGAGGGAGCTGCTGTGGGACAGCAAGGAGCACCAGTGGCTGCCCTTGTGATGACAACACCTTGCATCGGTCTGAAGGAGACTGTTCTGTGGGCCAACAGATACAATTTTGGGTTAGGGACTGTCTAAAGGTGGGGATGAATGGGATGGTGGTCATAATTGCATTTCATTCTTTCATCCACAATTTCAGCTATATTTCTTCACAGACCAAGCCATCTTCCTGTGCCCTGAATTGGTGGAGAGCATGGCTGGGGAAATATTATTGTTTTTTTTTTTTAGTGCTGCAGTTTCTCATAGAGTGGGCAAGATCAGCCTCAGAATGCCATGTGAAAAACAAAACCATTCCTTCTGAATGACCAGTAGTCAGTAGTGTTCAGGACCAACACTACCCCAGTGTGAGGTGGGCCTCTCAACACTTCTTTTATTTGAAAGTGCTTTGAAAATGGACATTTCTGCTTGGCATGACCATCCCATGTCATGGTGATCCCAATCTGCCTTGTCTCTAGTGCCATGGAGTGTGTTTCCCCATGCAGTAGGGGGTGAGACAGAGCAAAGTCATGCCAGAAAGGCTTCACCCTGTTGCCTTCCCAAGCCAAATCACTTTTCTCCTTTGATTTATTTGTAGAAAAGCCACCACGTTTGCTGTCCTGGAGCCACCACAGGGCTCAGAGCAGAGCTGTAGGAGTAGACTTCATAATGTGACCCCAGAGCAATCCCAGGCATTGACAAGGTATGTTCACATTTGGGCTACGTAAATACCATCTAGTAGAGGTCCCTTCAGCTTCTTTAGCATCTTGTGAGAGTCCTACCAGCACAGTGGCTGAAACCAGTTTACTTTAGCTACCTTCACACATCGGATTTTTCATCTCTTTCTTCCTTATGCTTGCTGCAGCACCTGCCTGCCTCTTTATTGACTGGAAATGTAAATAGTGTGACAAGTAAATAGCATGGTTTTAATTGCAGTGACTAAGCTCTGTGCAGTGTTTCATAGCCAAAATATGTTTCTATAGATTTAACTTGTTTCTAACATTGTTGCTTAGGAGAAAAAAAAACAAAAACAAAAAAAAAAAAAAACAAACCACCTGTGATTAATTGTAAGGAGAACTAGCATTTATTTCTGAGCAAGTGGAAGCTTTCGAAACGCCTTTTCTTTTTCATAGTTAAAGTATGAATTAGATGCCTTTCTCTTCTGAGGCATTAGCCAAAAGGCTGGTTGTGGTTGAGACTTTTCTTTGCTTTTTTATTCCTTGTGAACATAAGTATGGCAGAGTTAGGTCTTACAGTAGTAATTATTTACCATTGCGAAGAACACAGTATTATGGCATGGGTATGCACAGGCATGAGAAAAAAAGTACAGAAAACCAGTGTCAACCCCTACTTTTGCACTAGGTATTGTAGCCAGTGGCATTCACAGGATGTGAACATTTCACTGACATAGTCACACATCTTTTATTGATGAGCTTAGGCTGGAAGGGAAAGTTTACGTCAGATTCCAAATGCATATCAAACAGTCCTTGCAAAGAGCAGGGGCACTGTCTGCCCTTTGTCAGCTTTGCCAGTGACAAAACTCATGTTTCCAGGGAACTGTTGGTCTTTTAATGTGAACTCACCTTAAAAAATACCATACGTGGGTCCTAACAGCCTCAAATCACAGAGACTGGAAGCTTACAACACATCAGTCCCCAATAGAAAGTACCAATCTAGACATAAAAGTCAGGCTGTTCGTTCCCTCCCAGTGACCTTGAAGTGATTCTATGATATCTCTGGGTCCTCTTGTTTTGTAAACATTGGGTAATCTCCCTTTGGCCTTTTCTGTTTAAAAGTCAAAAGAAGGCTTAAAAATATCAAGTGGCAGACTTCAGCAGCACTGGAGGTCTTTCTGAACTCTCCCTGGAAGTATCTCTACCTACTAATCCCTGAGTAAAAGCAAGTAGGTGTAATTTCTTCTTATGTTGCAGTGCAGGAACCCTTCTGCTGTTCCATGGAAGTGAAAGCCATTTCATTTCCTTTTATGTATCATCTAGCCATCTTGGCTGTACAATAAATGAGTTGCAGTAAAGCCAGAAACTCCCTAACCATGAGGCTATTCTCCTTCATGTAGAAGTATATATTGTTATGGAAAACAGTGCAGCACCCCCAGGTTGTGCTTGTATGCTCTCCATTGCTAACATATCACCTCTAATCCAAAATAGGGAATGTGAGGAATAAATGAGCTACCCATGCCATATTTTCTTGTATGTTTTTACATGTCTCTCTCCCGTTATTTTTATATGCGTGTGTATATGTTTCAAGTACTAATATGAAAGTCTGGGGGAAGTGCCAGTAGTGAGCAGTGTGGGAAGGCGAAGGTGTAAGTGCTAGATCAAAGACCATACTAATGTGTTGTAATTACAAAATACTGTAACAAACAGAAAATCAGGATGTTCTGGGTCAGCATGACATTACCAAAAAAAAAAACAACAAACAAACCAAACCACCACTCAGTGTGGTAAAAGGGATGCTCCTAAACGTGACAAGATTAAGCTGTCATCAATTTATTCTGTGCTGGGCCTAGAAAGGTTACGCTGACCCACTGATGCAGTGCAGATACCAAGTATTTGGAGGTGACCCTTTCAGCTTCAGGGATTATATCTCCGCAGCAGGGAAATGAGGCACAGGATATTTCTAAACCCATCATAGAAAGAAATAATTATGTTCTCTAAGATGGCTGTTGCAATGGCTGCTGGGACACCAGTCAACAAAGAGGCATTTGATTCACAGGGTGTACAATATTTCCCCTCTCTATGGTAATACATATTGTGAAGAATTTCTTTTGCTCATGCAGGAGTTGATGGCTTGCTTCCATACTCATTGAAAATAATATTTCAATAAAATCAGGCCATATCTTTTGCCTATTTTAAGGAATTTTTAAAAAAGTATAGATTTGGCAACATGATACAAAAGTGCTCCTGCTCTAAGTAGAGGTTTCATTCGTATTTGAATCAGCTCCATTAAAATAGCCTGTGGTGCTTTCAACTTCTACTAAAATCTCTCCAAGGAGGAAAACATATTGTTGTTATTGCTGTTTCTGCACTTCACGCAAATAAATTGGCTTGAAAAGAAAGTAGAGGATACAAACCACGCTGACATAATAAGAACTGTATCACCATTTTAAAAATTTTATGCTAGTGTTTTCATTCCGAAGTTAATTTATTACAAGCAGTGCTAGAATTCTCAAACTAATATTCTCAAAAAAAGTTGTCACAAGTATTTTAACATGTATGAAGGGCCTTCTGATTAAATAGAAGACATACGAGGTAGAGTTTCATTGAAAGACAAACAAGTGTGCTGATCCCAGCTGTACAGCTTGAAGAAGGACCAGCATGCAACAGGAAAATATAGGAAAGATATTCAGAAAACAACAAAGTGAATCAAACATAGTTATCTCTAACAGAAGACAGAGTTTTAGATTTGATGCTGTTTGTTTCATGCATGAGTAATCTGTAGTTTAAATTTAAAAATCTACTTATGAAATTAGGAAAACCTACCAGAAAACAGTATTTTGGGATTCTGTACGAGGTTGATACAGTATGCTCAGGTTGGACATTAGGAAATACATGTACTCTCTGAAAGGGTGGTCAGGTGCAGGGATGGGCTGTCCAGGGAAGTGGTAGAGTCACCAATGCTGGGAGTGTTCAAGAAACATTTAGATGTTCTACTGAGGGACCCGATTTAGTGGGAAATGTTGATGGTAGGTGAACAGTTGGATTGGATGATCTTGGATGTCTTTTCCAACCTTGGTGATTCTATAGAAAAATAAGAAAATGAGAAAATCCGTTATTTCCAAAGACTACTGCCAGAATGAAAAATACG